TGGTTGTGTGAGAAGGCACAGTGCTTCCACCTATGCCTCCATCTTGGTGGAAGTTCCCCTTATGAGAGATTTTGAAAGCAAAGAGGTTTTTTTCTGGATTTACAAAGATCAAAATTTTTTTGGTAAATTTCAAATTTGAGATTCCTGTGTAACCCTAAAAATATTCTAGAGTTTCAATAAGATGTGTAGTTAAAAACTTAATTTTATTTGGTCTGAGTAACCACGAAGTATGATGATGTTCCATATTGCCAACTCTGGAGAAAACAACTGTGATGTTAAATTTATATAAAACCACATATATAGACCAGGGTGGCTGTTGGGAATGTAGAACAATTTGTACCCAGTGTTGTAACTACATGAAAAACAGATGATCATGTGGATGTAATTGTCAGAGATAACACCAGGAACAAAATGTTGAGTTATCAGGAATGTAATCTTGTCATACTGGTCAAATGAACTGGCGAGCAAATGACCTTATTAAATAAAAGGTTAAGGAGAATGCATGTAATTGGCAGATTGGTGAGGAGACAGTATGAGGGTGTGATCTGCAGAGTTAGGCCCAAGGTTTGCACAACGAAGAAAATACAGATAACCAGGATCAAGGCAAAGTAGACAAGTTACAACAATGGACAACTGGTCACCCTCAGGAAGCTGAATTTTGACTTATACTGAACATTTTTAAATAAATTCTTCTGTTTAAGGAAATCAGAACACACTCATTATACATGAATAAATTATGCATACTTATAATTCTATCAGTGTGTTTCATGTTTTCTAGTTCCATCAGCTTATAAGACTTATAATCTCCAGTGTGTTAAAGTTTTCTGTCTATGTATTTACCAATCTACTTACCTACCTACCAATCTATTTCTCTTTTTTTTAGTAGTATGTACTATGTACCAGGCTAAGCAATGGAGAAATGCAAGATATGTCTGTAAAAAGTCCATCTATTGTTAAAATAATGAGAACGGCTTGTGCAACATTGACCTAACCTGGCAGCCAAGAAGAGTGGACTAGAATGCACATGCGTGAGTGATAACAACATCACTGTACCAATCAGTGGGAGCAGTAGATGCTGTTGAGTGAGCATGTGTACTGTGTGGCTGTCACATTCAATGTGACTAAATGAGTAGAACAATGAATCTGCATCAAATTTTGCAATAAGCTTGAACATCCCTCCATGGAAATTGTTTGGGTGATTCAGAAAGCCCCAGCTATGGACAACTGGCAAATGGCAGTTTCATCACCACAACATGCCTGCTCATGCATGTCACATGCAGTCTTTTTGGCAAAACATCAAATTACCCAGGCAACTGAAAACCCCTACAGCTCAGATTTGGTGCACTTTGACTTCTGGGTTTTCTAAAACTAAAATCATCTTTGAAAGGGAAGAGATTTTAGACCATTGATGAGATTCAGGAAAATATGACAGGGCAGCTCATGGCAACTGGGAGAACTGTGTGAGATCCCAAGGTGCCTACTTCAAAGGGGACTGAGGCATCACTGTCCTATGTGCAATGTTTCTTGTATCTTGTATCTTCTTCAATAAATGTCTCTACTTTTCATGTTACATGGCTATAAACCTTCTGGACAGACCCCAGGCTTGCTTTCAAACATTTTATCTGCTATTGTGGCATTTACATTATTACAGAGAACACAGGCATTAATTAAATAAGCACACCTATAAGAATATTATATCCAAAGAGTGCTAAATGTAAAAACAGAAAAATATAGAAACCTATGGAAGGAAACTAAGTGAGGTGACATGATTTTATAGTTATTATTAAAAATGAATTAACTTTTATTGAATGAACAATAAGTATCGGGCATTGTGTTCAGTACTTTATATGTGTTAATCCATTTCTGCTACACAGCCATCCTATGAGAAAATGCTATATGATGATGTTATATAAAAGAAACTGGGGCAGAAAGATCTTGAGTAATTGGTTCAGTAAATCAGATTCCAGAGTTCATTCACTTAACTATTAATTTAGCTGACAAATGATGAAGTCATGACCTGAACTACAAAGCTTTCTTTATTTAACAAGCTGAATTAGTCCATAAATTATAAAATGGGATGTTTTCTTATACTGCATTATGTAATTCAGTGGCATGCAGCTGTCAAATGTATGATGAACATTTTTTAGAAGACAAATAATAGTTTTATTCACTTCATGGTGTTTTTTCAACAAAATATAGTGAAAAAAGTACGTTACCATAACAAAAGAAAAAAAACATTTGAAGCTAGACACATTTGGGTTTGCCTTTTGATTGTAGGTTAATAATTACTCTGTGAGTCTCTGTTTTCTCATCATTAAAAAGGGGACTATGACACTAAAATCAGTATTGGTTGTCACGTTATGTGAAACAACATATAGTCAGGCAGGACCTGAACCTTGGTAATAATCATTATTATTATTTCTTTCTCTCTCATATATGATGTGTAGGTGAGAGAGTCTAAACATTCTTCAGATATCCATCATTCCCAGGGAAATATATGTTAATAAAAATGTTGTACTCATTGCATCGCCACTTCCTGCACATTTATTTTTTCTAAATACACATGGATTAGTTTCCCTCACAAAACCACCAATTAGTCATAAACTTTTAGATGAGTAAGGAGAAAAATATAAAATATCATAACAGTTATCCCCTAGAGAAGTGCAGTAGATATCCTCGATTTTCTCATAGATTCTTTTTATCATCACATTGCTCAGTTTTTTTAAATAAATAAAGACTCCAGCAGAATTAACTTTAAAAAGAGAAGAACAATAATTTAAGATCCTTCATGAGAGATTTTCATTAATAAGGGAATTCCTTCAATTTTAGGTAAAAATTCTGGATCTACTGGAATAATTCACTAATACAAAAAAATATTTAACCAGCGTATATCTACTCTATGTCCAGCGAAGTGTAGCATGAAAGAAAAGACAAACCATTTTAACAGGCTGATGGTGTCGTCCCAGCCAGCCAGTCAATTCATGAAAGCACATGGGATCATTCCCCCTTTATCTTTAACATGTGTGTACGTGGGCATCACTGTGGGCTTCCTGTTGCTAGTGTCAATTGTACATGTCAGTGACATTATGGGTTACTTGTATTTCTAAACAGTTTTGTTGCCTTATAACTCATAGTTTTCCTCCAAGTCATTGGTTGGTCCATTCAAAAACATTTTTCTCATACATGTGAAAATGGAGATAATTTGTTCACTTTCAAAATGGAGATTCGTTTATTATTTTATGCTGCCATTATGATTGAAGCTTTATTTGGTGCCCAGCTAGGTTGTAAGGATAAAGACGTGGATACTGAGAACAGAATATTTGAACTAATAAAGGGGCTGGCTTTATATAACCAAATATGTGTGTGCTTAAATAGTAATAGATCTAGGTATGTGTTTAAGTAGAATCCAGCAAACTATCAATTGGATGTTAAAAGTTACAAAAATAATTGTTTATATGTGTGTTTTAACAGAATTTGTAGACAATCTGACTTATATAGCTATTTAAATAACATTTAGTCATAGGAAAGCTTTAAATAATTATATATGATAATATACAATTAATGAATATTAAAATCTTACCCTGCAGGAAATATTTAGCAAAAATAGGCTGTAAGGTGTAAAAGAAACTTTGAAATACAACTGAAAAAAATGGTCTCAATTGGAGGAGTGACTAATTACTGTCCTATGTATACCTTTTACTTCATCACTGAAAGTAACATTCACATGTGGTCACAAAACAGTTGTAACACTTATTTTGCTCAGACTCGACTGGTCTGACATAACATTGAACCAGGAGCTATGAGTAAGTTGGAGCGGGAGCACAAAGGATGAACAAGTTCTTGTCTTGCACAAAAACAAAACTAACTTCAATTTACTCAGAATAAATTGCTTCTTTCCTCCTTTGCATCAGCACTTCCATTTTCTTATACTATAGCACTTAACAAATTATGTTGATTTTTCTCTTTAAAGCTTCACGAATTCAAGAAAACTCTATAAGCCATATATTTTTGTAAGAGCCATTCTTTGCCTGTTTCAGTAGTTTTATCTAAAACAAGTAATTTTCAGAAGCTTCTTCTTTCCTGTAATGGCAGAAGAAAGATGTCTTATTGAAAGTAATTCTCATAAGTGGAAAGAAATGAATGGGGATCAGGCATGTACATGGGAATGTTATGGTAACTTCTTTTTCCAAGAGGTGACAAGTTTCATCAGCTGTTGTGGCCATATTTCTCTAAACTCCTAATGGGATTGAAGCCCCTACATCATTAATTCTACAGAATTATAAAAATAGTAAAAATTAGCTCATGATAGCCAACACATGTACTAACAATTTTGTATATATGTGTATATAGATATAACTATACCACGCAACACTTTATAGATATATAAAATATTTCTGGAAACATAGGAAACTGTTAGTAGTGGTAATTTTAAGAAATAAGAATGAAAGATCAGGACAGAGGAAAAAGGAAATATTTTGCTCTTTTACTTTATAGTCTTGCAGAGATCAGATATTTTATTCTGAGAATGTGTAATTTTTATCATCTAAAAGTAATACATAAGGTCATAAATGTAAAAATGTATGAAAGAAGAGAAAGTATGTTCCATACATACATTTATAATGTCCACCCTTTTACATCACATACAATGTACTTGCGTGTCTCATATATAACTATAAATTTTCTATACCTATATTTTTATAGTCTGTCATTAGATTAGAGCTTTTTATCATCTATTTAAAGTCGATTTTGCTTCCCTGGCCAGGTAGTTCAGTTGGTTAGACTGTTGATCTGATGCACCAAGTTTGCAGGTTCCATTTCTAGTCAGGGCACATACAAAAATCAGCTAATGAATGCATAAATAAGTGGAACAACACATCAATCTCTTAGTATCTCTGTCTCTTTCTGAAATCAATAAATAAATTTTAAAATACATAAATAAAATAAAATTCACTTTACTATAAATGCAGTTAAAGTCAGATTCAGATCTTATAAATATATTTTTATTTTACTAAAAAAGGGACACTGTGATTCTTCTTCAAAAGTACATTTCTTCTGATCAATTTCACCAAAGCTTGTTTCACATCCTTGTTTCTCAGACTATAAATGATGGGGTTCAACATTGGGCTTACAAAAGTGTAGAAAACAGCAATGATTTTGGACTCTTCCACTGACTTGTCCGTGGGAGGTCTAACATACATGCAGAATAGGGTCCCGTAAAACACAGTCACTGCCATAAGATGTGATCCACAGGTGGAAAAAGCTTTCTGTCTGCCTTCAGTAGAACGCATCCTCAGAATGGAGATGAGAATAAAGACATAGGAGATGAGGATTATGAGGAGGGAGTTGGAGAGGTTAAATCCTGCTACCACAAACATGGATGTCTCTTTAATGAATGTGTCAGAGCAAGAGAGTCGGATGAGGGGTGGGTCAGCACAATAGAAGTGATTAATGATATTGGAGCCACAGAAGGTCAAGCGATATGTCCACATGGTTTCCATAAGGCCACTAAGGAACCCATAGATGTAGGGACCAGCAATCAGGCGAATGCAGACGCCATTGGACATCTTGCTGCTATAAAGCAAAGGGCTACAGATGGCCATGTACCTATCATAAGCCATCACAGCTAGCATGTAATATTCAGTAATCAGCATGGCAATGAAAAAATAACACTGGACTAGACAAGCAGCATAGGAAATGGTTTTCTTTTCTGATAAGAAGTTCACCAACATCTTAGGAGTCACATTAGTAGAATAGCACAAATCCAGGCAGGACAAACTGGCAAGAAAGAAGTACATGGGAGTGTGGAGGCGTGAATCTATCCTGATCAATACCAACATGCCAAGGTTCCCTCCAACAGTGATCAGGTAGATCACCAGGAATAGTGCGAAGAGAATGGGCTGAAGCTCTGGACGGTCTGTTAATCCTAAGAGAATAAATTCAGTCACCAAGGTGGAATTTTCTCTGAGCATTTTCTTAGGTGCCAGCGTTGCTCACTTGGATGAATTAAAGTAAAGAAGTGATTGAAAAGTTTGTAATATGTTTCTTTCTCTCATTTTCTGCTCACAGTCCCCCTTACACATCCCTATTATTAGACAGAGTCTGACACTGTAGCAGCTTGGACTTTGAGAAGGTTGTGGCCCTTGTTACCTACATGTATAATGTTCAGATGATTCTGAAAGAAAATGACTCTTGTGATACCAACCTGTTTTGGAAAGCAGGAATTAAGAGCCAAAGTTTGTCTAAAATGTATTGAACTACTACCTGCTACTTGTACTTTACCATAAAAACATGGGCTTTATCATTGAGCTCAATGATAGTTCTGGACAAAATGATGATGAGCTTGAAAAATGGTTTTTTAGTCATTAATGGGGTGTGCATATTTAAAAATTCAGCCTCTGAGAACTGCACTCCCCATTGAATTAGAGAGCTCAAAATTATAGAGGTTTGAAGCAAATGTTCTGGGACATGTTAGACTGCATTGTTCAAAAAATATAGGAGATTGTGTTATCCTACATGAATAGATCAAAGATAAGAACTCCAAATTTGGAAATAAAGTCCTATATGAATAACTGATGAAGAAATTTTTATTCTGGAGTTTACATGAATAAAAGCAAGAAACACATTAAGAGAAGTATCTAAAACTTATGTCATAGTTTCTTTACTTATCCATTCTTTTATTTATTTTTTATTTAACAAAAAGCATTTAAGGGATTTATAACCAATAACAGAATTTGGCAAATTTGACTTTAAGGTCTATGGTGGAACGCAAATATGACTCTAAACTTTCTAACAACATATGGAAATAGTTCAACCTTCTTTATGAACTATAATGTCCAAAAGTTATAAAACAAAAACTAATTAATAGAGAATTATTCTTTGCACTAGAGTTCAGATGATGTTAATTATAATGAAAGGATTATACATTCAGATAATATCGATTATAATTAAAAAATAAAATGAGAAATCATTGTGCCAGGCATCTAGAAAATATATTTACATCATGGATTCTTAATGTCACCATGTCTTATTTCATAAGTGATCCACCAAAGAAGGTAATGAATCAAAACTCCAATGCCTGTGGGAGTCATATTAGATCATAAGAACGAGTAGACAGATAATTAGGGTAAGAGTGAACTGAAGTGAACTAGAGAATGGTTCCCAGGCTACAGCATCAGCAGCCACTCGGGCCAATTGAATATTTACTATATGGTCATGTTGTCCCATGTCCCAAGATCTTAAGATCTTTCCATTTTAAAGAGTTACAGATTCATTATTTTTATGAGAAACCTAATCAAATACAGTACTGACAAATAATTTTGTTTTTAAACTTATCTCATGTGAATAGAAATTTTACAGGATGGAGCACCTGCTTTGTCTACTGTTGTCATGAACTCCAGCACCTCCCTCTTTTGGTTTTCCAGTCCAGTGTCTCACAAATATAAGGGCAGGCTGCATCCTAAACTATGGATCATTTTACATTTCACAGCTTAGTACTAGTCAGTCATCTACCAGTAAAAGCTCATTAAAAATCAGTCTCGCTACCTTAATATAGCTGCTTTTTTCTATAGACTTCAGAGTCTACTTATTCAGTATCAGACTTTGACTAAATAATTTCTAAAGTTTCCATCATTTGTAACATCCTGACTCATCATTTATTTAGTTCCAAATCCAATACAATTTTATATTTCCTAGTGATCAATCTAAATCACAAATACTGAGAAATTATGCTGATATTCACAGCTCCTTTTGTGGTCATCTGATTCTGGCTCATGAAGATTCAAAGCTGAAACAAGAGGAGAAAGTGCAGGCATGTAAGTCAGAATTGTCATACCTACCTGACCCAGGAAAGGCTTCTCAGAGACACTAGTGGCCCAAGGAATGAGTTACTGGGAATGATTTATATCCGACTTGCAAATTGGAACTTTAATCCCTGAAGTAATTTTCAACACACTCTGAAGAAAATAATTACAATGTTACTACAAGAGAAAACTCCAGGGAAATAGTAGTTCATGTGGACTCAGTAGAATCTGGGATGTGCAAACTGCAATGCCTCAATTTGAAATCATTTTGAGCTCATACCTGTGGCTGATTAAGAGTTTATTCTTATAAAATTTGTGTACTAAGGATCACATATATTCCAATCAGATCAGTAAAAAGTAATAAAGGTTTAAAATAATGACGATTCAGAGTGGACTTTGATGTTCCTGTGATGTTTTACCAGTCTGAATTTTTTTGTACAGTCCCTTCCACAAAATTGCTACTGTTTGCTGAAAAGATTTTTACATATAGAATAAAGTGGTTAAATTTCAAAACCCAATGAGTAAAATAATTTGAACAAGGTATCGTAATGATTTCTAATGCAGGTGTTGGGTCTGGCAGTTTGCAACTAATATATTATGAAAAGCCTGGTAAGCATGTAATCTATCCATATAAGATTTGTTCATACATGAAAACAGAGTAAATGTGAAAATAGTATATCTACCTTTTCTTCCCATTACCAAGTATCCAATTATCTACTACAACAAAAAAATTGTAGTTATGTGAGATGATAGATGTGTTAATTAATCTTATTCTAATAATCATTTTCCAATGTATACCTTTGTAAGTTTAAGCAAGGTTGTGTGTAAATGACATCTCAATAATGCTAGAAAAATAGCCAATAAATTTTCAGAAATAAAATTATAAGGGTAGTTATTTGATAAGAGAACTAAATTCCAAATATATAACAATGAAATATCTTTTAAAGTCCCAATGTATGGTCATTACCACTCTCTGCTAAATAACCTGTAGATTAAAGAAAGAGTCACCAGGAAAATAAGAAAATGTTGTAAACTGGATATCAAAATAAGTAGCTTTTAGCTAAAGCAATGTTAAGGTGAAATGTATAAACACCTACATGACAAAAAAGTAAGATTGAAATTAATAATACAAACACTAATTTTTAAAAAACTAGAAAACTCCAGTGAGCAAGCAATTATTCTTTTCTGAGACCTGAGTTTATGGGCTCAGTTCAGAGGAAGGAAGTAGAATCCTACAGCTCAGAGGCCACAAACTAGATCCACAAACTCATGTCTAGGAAAGAATGCTGATTCTGGTCCACTCCCTACTAGTCACTACTGACTATTCCACAGGCACATCAATAGGAAACCATTATTATGACCTATAGTTTATGGCTTTACTTAGTAAGTTGGGGTGGAAGGTGTGTTTCTTAAAAGAGATGGTCATAAGAAAAAAATAAATTCAAGGAACTGAGCTAAAAGCATGTCTCTTCTGTCTACTTTTGTAAACAAGAGCATGCCAGTGTTCCAGGTTGTGACAACAGGGAAGTTCCACTTAGAGCACTGCCCGTCAGATTTGTCATTTCTGCAAATCTTCTAGGATGTGGTTAAAGCACAGGTTTGGACATGGTACATCTGAGGTACAGAATGTGATGTCACATTTTTAAAAACCTTTGAAGTAGTGCTGTTGCTGCTAGTCCAAGGGCCACATTTTGAAGGATAAGGGCAGAGACTAACAGGTGTAGTTCATTTATCTTTATCCCAGACCTGAGCTTTTTACTGAGCTACTTGAGACATATCCATACAGAACACCAAACTCATGATCAAGATGCAAAGACATTTGAGCCAAAGGTTTAGAGTTACGGTTTATTGGAAAGTGGAGGCGTTGTCATCTTCATGACCACATTTTGTCTGAGGACATTCTTCAATGCCCGCTTTACATCTTTGTTCCTCAAACTGTAGATCAATGGATTAAGCACCGGACTTACAAAGGTGTAGAAGACGGCTATTATCTTGGATTCCTCAACAGTCTTATCTGTTGGTGGTCTTACATACATACAGAAGAGTGTCCCATAAAATAGGGTAACAGCCATCATGTGGGAAGCACAGGTGGAGAATGCTTTGTGCCTTCCCTCTGCTGATTTGATCCTGAGGATGGCAGCAATGATGAAGGCATAGGACACCAGGATGATGGTGAGGGAGCTAGAGAGATTGGAGCCTGCTGATATTAGCATGGTGTGCTCTTTGATGTAAGTGTCAGAGCAGGAAAGCTTAATGAGTGGCGGGTCAGCACAGTAGAAGTGGTTGATGATGTTGGATCTACAGAAGGTCAAGCGGAAGGTCAGGATTGCCTGTAACAGGCCATCTGAGAAGCCATAGATATAAGGAAATGTGGCCAAGCAGGTGCACACCCACCTGGACATTTTCACACTGTAGTGCAGAACGTTGCATATGGCCATGTAGTGGTCATAGGCCATGACCACCAGCATGTAAAACTCAGTGAGGAGGAGTGCAATGAAAATGTAACACTGTGTAAAGCAGCCAGCAAAGCTGATGGTCTTCTTCTCTGAGGAAATTAGTCAGCATCTTCGGGGTGGCACTGGAGGTATAGCGCAGGCAATAAAGGCTAGGTTAGTGAGGAAGAAGTACATGGGCGTGTGAAGGCGAGAGTCCAGTCTGATCAACACTATCATGCCCAGGTTGCCCAAGATAGTGACCAGGTACACCACCAGAAACAGCACAAAGAGGAGAGGCTGGAGTTCAGGGCGACCTGTGAGCCCCAGGAGAATGAATTCTGTTATTTCACTGTCATTAGTGATGGGCATTTTCTCAGAGTCTGTGCCTGACTTGAAACAAATGGAAATAGGGCAGACAGGAAGATAGAGATCATGTTACTGGTTGTTGAAATGATTTTTCTCCAAAATTCATGTCATTTAAAATTAATACTACCATATGCCAATTTTGTATTTTTACTAAGTCATGATTTTAATGTGCCTATATATGAATTACCATTGTATTTCTATCTCTTATCTACACTTACACCAACAGGTATATCTATAGATAATGTATTTATACCCATACTTTTGTCTGTATATACAACTGAGCTACTCAACCTCTACCTCCCGGCACTATTCTTTGTCTCTCAAACTCTTTCTCATCCTATAAGGCTGTTTAACAGCCCATCCTTCATGAAGAATGTCTCATGCCACCCTCTCATACATGAGACTGAATTCATCCCTTTCTGCTTTCAGTCACCCTATACACCTCTAACTTACTCTTTAGCACACCTCATCACCATAATGTAGCTATTTGGTACTAATGTATTAGTTCTCCTTAGGGAGCGAAAATGTCCAGCCCATTTTTGTACTATGACTTCTAAGCACATATTTATATACTGGATTTTAAAGACAAATAATGTAAGCATGAAAAAATTGAATGACATGCAATGTTTTAGTCATCTCTTTATCTTCATGGACCTTTTTATGATGCCATATCCTTAGAAGAATTGAGTACTTTTTTAATTTAAGTATGTGAAGCAAGTTTTTGAAAAACATGTTCTTCAAGCAAATTCACAGAAAGCTTTTTCATAAAGTCTGATGCGATATACTGTTATCTTCATATTTAACAATTATTTCAAAGACTCTAATGTAGATATTTTCACAATCACAATTTAAAAAGACACCATCACACTAGTAACATAAAGATATGCCAAACATATCTTTGAACGAAGAATCATCAAATCAAGTGAATTCTCAAATAGTATTTTGAATATAATTTTCATCAATGACACGTGTTGATAAAGAAGAAATAAATTTTGCAAGTTAGTACCTAAGTAATTAATCACAACTTGTATTTATCTAAAAGCATTACAGTCCCTGTGGTTTTTTAATTAATTTTAAAAAATCTTTACACTGGTTTCAAGTGTACAATTCTATGCTGTTCCTCCGTATATTGCATTGTGTGCCCACCACCCAAAGTCTGATCTTCCATCACTACATAGTTGACCCCATTTACCACCCTTTCCTACTCCCAACCCCCTTCCCTCTGGTAACCAATTAGCTCTTCTTCACATCACAACTAGTGCTGAATCCCTGTTCTTTGTTTTTAAGATGCCTATTTTTTGTCTTTTCTCTCATATTTAGTTTTTCTTCATTCTTGTGTCATTTCAAAATGAATAACTAAAACATATTTTAGTGAAACTTTTAGAAAGTCAGTGACAAAGTCTTCTTAAACTTCTATCTTCATTACCCAAAATGATAAATATGTATAAATGTTCGTTGATTACACTAATAATAGTTATCGATAACGTAACAATTCTTATCCATGAGTCACCTTATTCCCCCATTTGTAAGTAGTAATAATAATAATATCCATCTTGGCTATCTCACAAGTCATTGTGAAAATCAAAGTAGATATCCGTGGAACAAGTATTGATTGATACTTAACTTAAGCAACTGATTAAGCATTGTAGTTGCAATGTGAACAAAACTATTCAAAACTTCTTCCCTTCTGGCATCATATTCTAGTAGACAGAGTCATATGGTGTTGCAGGTAAGTACATGGGTTTTTTAGACAGCACTGTTATGGAAAAAATAAAGAAAAGAAAGAAAATGCACTTGGGAAGGAAGCATTCAAATTCTTTAAAATAACATCAGCAAAGAACTCATGAAAAGGTAGGTTTTTTAGGCAGAAACTGAAGGACAGAGAGACTAGCAATGCAGCTTTTTTTGAGAAGGGTGTGGGATAGTAAAGAGAAAAGGGCATCAAACATGGTGATGAAAGACTTGACTTTGGGCAGTGGGCACACAATGCAACATACAGATGATGCATCATAGAATTGGGCACTTGAAACTTATGTAACCTCAGTATACAATTCACCTTAATAAATTTAATTTAAAAAGAAGAGTGTTCTAGGAGGGATAAAAAGCAAGTGCTGAGATACCATATGTAGTCTTTTTCTGGAACTGGTAGTAGTAATGTTTTTGTATGCAGAGTTCATGAAATAGACAGCAGAAAATCCCAGCTGAATTGCTTCCTAAAACACAAATGTTTAACTTTCTTGAAGTCTGAGTCACCTCTACCCATCACTTTCCTACTAAGGATATCAAGGACTTTCACTGGAGAGTAGGCACAGCTTCTCTTCAAGAAGTGTCTAGCAGAAAATACTCAAGCAACAGCATATTGATTTGTTGACAGCAGCAGGTGGGTGGCTTAGAAGATACACATTTTCATATTGTCCTCTACCCAGGAAATCCAAGAGAGAAAATAGGCAGTTGTTACAAGAACAGAGAAAACTGGAAGGAGTAAGAGAAGGATTCAGAAATTTCAGACTTAAAAAGACACAGCTGAAAACTGACTTTGAGGGGTTCATTTGCCGAAGGATTATTTGTTGCATGTGACTTACTGACTGCCTGTGGGATCGGAAAAGGTTTTGCCTCAAAAGCTCAGTAATTCATGAGGGATCCAGAAATATCCAGTTGAAGTAGAGCAGAGAAACTGAGAAGTGGAGAGAAGCCAACAAGACTATGAGTAGTGTGTTTTTACAGAGAAGTAAAATCACAGCTGCTCTGACTGCCTGTTTCAGGCCAGAGAGAAAGATGAACATCGTTTGAACAAGGAATTGGGGTATTTCCTAGTTTACAACCAGGGAGAGTCTCTGCCTGAAGGGGGAGGACCAGCAAAGGAGTGTCTCAAGGGTAGAATAAAGCTATGAATTATAAATCCAGGACCTAGGATTAGCTTCACAATATACAGGGTCCATTACAAAACAAAATTCAGGTACTCTTTGATCAAAAATTAAGAATTTTAACACTATGACACTGGAGCATTAAACAGCTTGTACAAGTTGTATCCCCACGAAGTCATCTGTTCCTGTATCACAGATGCTAACAGAGCTGACAATGGGGATATGGAAGAAGAAGGAGAGTACCCCAACTCTTTTAAGAAGAAGAAGAATAACAACAAGAAGAACAAGAATAAGAATAGGAAGAACTAGAAGATGAAAAATAAGAACATAGATAGAAAAAGAAGAAAAAAGAAATATCAAAACATTAATCAGCCCTGATGACAATGTCAAAGGTAATCCAGCTGATGGGCTAGCCATCTAGACAAATTTTATAGGCCATGCAATTTCAAATGAATTAAAAAGGAGTTTTGTTTTCAGAGTAAGAGGAAGTAGAGATAAGGGAAAATGTCTAGCAAAAATTCATTGTAAAAATGTCCCTTAAGCTTTTGTTTTTGTAAATATGAGTCCCATGAAAAATCTAATGAAATTTTGAAACTCTGGATCCTATGGATCCAGAACCATATAAATGCACACATTAAAACCTACCAAAAGACACAATATGCCAGGGGCTTATAGATCACTTGGCTCAAACTCCAAAAACTCTTATATTAGGGTAAGCTCCATCTCACATTTTGAAATGTCTTTACAGTTGTGTGAGATGAGAATGTTGGTCTTTCTTGCTTCAGTTGAACCAGTGACTGTTCTATAAAATATTGCCCAGGGAGATCAACAGAACTTTCAATGAACCTGGTCTGGGAAGTCAGTTCAAATTCAAACTCTGCTACTGAAAAGAGAAAGGATTGCAGGTACATATTTGAGGACATGGGGGGGGCAATTTTGTAAGCCTCAGTTTGAAATTTTAACACAATTTCTTATTCACTGAAAGAGAATAAAAATGCCAAAACTTACTTCTGGTTCTGATTACCACTGTTTTCTCAACTTCTGATTAGGGAACTTTCTTGATGCCTCCCTAAGGTGTAAAAGGTGGTTCCATTTATACCCTCCTGTGGCAGGTAAGGACCTGCTCTTAAAGCAATCTCAGGAGGACTTAAAAGTATCAGCAATGAGTGTTACATTGGGAACAACCCCTCTTGGGTTTAATTGGAACAGTCTGGTATCAGAAAGCTAATTACAAGGCATCAGTTATAGTTTCCATAATTTCATTTATTTATCTATTTTTTAAATTTCTTTATTGATTATGCTGTTACAGTTGTTCTATTCCCCCCTTCATTCCCCTCCACCCTACCCCCCCGTCCCCACCATTACCCCCCCTTTAGTTTATGACCATGTGTCTCAAGTTCTTTAGATTCTATATTCCCATGCTATTCTTGCCCCCATCTATTTTCTATCTACTGTCTATGCTACTTATTTTCTGTACCTTCTCCCCCCTTCTCCTCCTCCCACTCCCCTGTTGCTAACCCTCCATGAGATCTTCATTTCTATGTTTCCACTCCTGATCTAGCTGTCCTTTTAGTTTGCTTTTGTTTTAGGTGTGGTTGTTAATAACTGTGAGTTTGCTGTCCTTTCACTGTTCATCTCTTTTATCTTCTTTTTCTTAGGTAAGTCCCTTTAACATGTCATATAAAAAGGTCTTGGTGATGATGAACTCCTTGAATTTGATCTTATCTGAGAAGCACTTTATCTGTCCTTCCATTCTAAATGAACGTTTTGCTGGATAGAGTAAATAAATAAATAAACAAAAAAATTAAATCTTTTAAGAAAAGGAACTGATGCACTCAATTCTGCAATAGGTAAAAGGATGAACAAGAACAGAGATCTTGGTTGTAGGTCTTTGAATTTCATGACTTGGAATACCTCTTTCCAGCCCCTTCTTGCCTGTAAGGTCTCTTTTGAGAAATCCGCTGACAGTCTGATGGGGACTCCTTTGTAGGTGACTGTCCCCTTAACTCTTGCTGCTTCTAGGATTCTCTCCTTCATTTTAATTTTGGCTAATGTAATTATGATGTGCCTTGGTGTGTTTCTTCTTGGGTCCAAATTCTTTGGTACTCTCTGAGCTTCCTGGATTTCCTGGAATTCTAT